TTTTTGTTTTTGTTTTTGTTTTTGTTTTTGTTTTTGTTTTTGTTTTTGTTTTTGTTTTTGTTTTTGTTTTTGTTTTTGTTTTTGTTTTTGTTTTTATTTAAAAAAATAAAATTAAAATAATTAAAATTTACAATCCTATTAGAAAATATCCAACCATATTTTTAAAAATATTAATATATAGATGTATGTGTACATATATACATATATATTAGTGGGGATCCCACAGGGCGGGGATCGGGGTCCCCGCCCCGTCCCTGCTAACAAGGATGAAAATTTCCCCATGATTATCCCCGTGGGGGGAAAATCATCCCCATCCCGCCCCATTCGGGGTGGATCCCCACAGGGATCGAGGAAAAGGGGAAAATTGCCATCCTTAGACCAAAGGCATAGGAACCTCCAAGGGAAGAGGGCAAACACTCCTTTTCAGCCCCTTTCCCTATCTTCAACTGATGATGAATAAAAGTTAAAAATCCCTAGGCTGAATGCGAAAAAACCAAAATTCTTGGCAGATTCGATTTTGTCAACCTGGTTCTAATACCATATTATAAACCTAATCTGCACTAGAATTCTGTTAGAATTAGGGTTGAAGAGATATTAGAGAGAATAGAAGAAGAAGAAGAAGAAGAAGAAGAGAGAAGAATAGAGAAGGAGAAAATTCTGGTTCGAACTAGAGAACACAATCCTCTCTAGGCAACTAGATTTAATTTATATATTTCTATGCATAAGAACAAAAGACTCATTTGCTCCTACTTAAGTATGGGACACATCAACTAACAAAACATTACACATCACCTTTAAACATAACTATAAAGACTAAAATACCCCTACACAGTCGACACTAACAGTTGGTATGTACCCAAACTATCAAAACATGGAACAGTATAAATAGTAACTTCCAACATGCCGCATAATAGAATTAGTGATGTATCATATCATCATGGTTACTTCAACATAAAATGGAGGAAATGAAAATGACAAATATTAATAAATTCTATATGTTCTTTCCTAAAAATGGCTTATAATTTTATTTGGATTTTACATACAGCTATCTATTATTTATAGTAATAGTTACTAATCATTTCTTCTGCACTTGGTTTTAAAACTTTGAGATATATTTTGGAAAAGCAGTCTATCAAAAAATATCCTCAACAAGAACTGCTAGAAACTAGTTGCAACCCCACTAAGACCCTTGAATACCAAAGGCCCCATTATACATCACCACAACCTGAGATTATTTGAGCCAGGATGTGAAATTGATAATGAATCGCAAAATGAGTGAAAATAGAACAACTGATCCAGTTTTGATGCTGGTTGACGCAGCTCAAGTATGACATAGGAAAACAGAAGAAATTTGTTCAAAGAAGAAATGGAAAAAAAGAAAATTGAATAGAACTTTATTAATATAAGGTGGATTACAAAGAGACAACAAGGTTGGGGACTCACTTACTAAGAGAGGTCTCTCTCCACTCTCAAAAGAAAGCTCTAAGCTTCACAAGACCAAAAAAAAAAAACTTGATGCCTCTAGATTGAGATTACAAGGATTTATGTAGAGAACAAAATTAGTTATTGGAGCATTAAATGAAAAACTAGCAATTAGTGCTTTTAATGAAAAACTAGCTGTTAGAAACCCACTAACCAAAATGGCTATTTGAAGCCTATTAGTGAGTTTAAATTAAAGCCTACTTATCTTATTCTTTGAAAATGATTTGATACTTCTCAAAGCATAATTTTAAACTGCATCAACAACTCCTTGATTGTAAGCAAAAATGTTTAGGATGGATATGTTACAATTTCCATGAGCACTTGGTGCACACAGAAATAAGGGACTGATGGTAAAAAATGGAAGTAAATTATGCAGGAAACTGAGATGGAGGACTAGGAAGGATTAACAATGGAAAAGTGTTATGATATTTTATATAATTATAAAATTTTTGGTTATTGATTGAGAGAGAGAGAGAGAGAGTAAGAAAAGAAGAGATGAATATAAGAAGGGAGGAAGAGAGAAAGAAAATCAAGAGAATTTGTTAGGCCAATGGGAAAAAGATTCATTCGATCCCTCACATTTGGCTGCTTTACATAGACTTCTTGACATATTTCAAATTACTTTTTTACCCCTAATTAAGTATGAGTCACATCACTAAGCATGCGACAGAATGGAACAGTTACAAAACTAAAGACAGACATAAATGCCCCCATTGACTTTCCACTTAACATTTCCCCTCAAGCTAGAAAATATATATCATTCATTCCTAATTTGTTACATATATATTCCACTCTTAGACTTTTTAGTAAAAAACTCTTTCCATTGATTTTCTTACCTCACATGAGTAGTACTCGTCACTCCACTAAGAACCTTCTCCCTTACAAAATGACAACCAACCTCTATATGTTTGGTTCTCTCATGACCGATTAAATGAAATATGGACTAGCAGTTTCGTTATCATAGTATACCTTCATAGGGCTAGTTACTATATATTCAAGCTCTACAATAAGATGATTTAGTCACACCAGGTCACATGTAAGGACTAGATTCCACCCAATAAATGTGCAGTAACCTTTGTGGATATCCACATTATGGCTCCCTTTAAATAGCTTAAACTATTGATTAGTGCATCTCAATGTGGAAACCAAGGACTCTGCATAAAATGGTTTACAATATTGACTGCAAATGAGATGTCTAGTTGTGTGATGGTTAAATGGTTTGGTTTGTCATCCAGTTTTCTATACTTTCTTCAATCATCAAATGGTTCACCTATACCAGCACTCAGCTTGGTACTAAAATCCATTAGAGATTCAGCTAGTTTTGTTCCCAATTGTTTAATTTCCTCGAGTAGATTAAGAACACACTTCCTCTAGCATATATTGATGCCATGTCATGATGTTGTTACTTCAATCCCTAAGACTGCATGAGAATTGATATACCATCTGAAATTTGGCTTTGATACCAAGTTGTTGATCAGTCCTCAGTAGGGTATAAATCAAATAAATTTGATTAAATAATCTGAAATTGACTATCAGGTGAGAGAGAAGAGAGAAGAGAAGACTTGGAGAAAAGAGCGTGGGGATCAGTGTGAGATCCCATTATCTTTTATAGCTAATATAACAATGGAGAAAACTACATTCCTGCCCCTTAGTAAGGACTTAGGAGGCACCACTAACAATGATTAATAAAAATAAAGGAAGGACAATGGGTCACTAACTATAGGCCCATAACTAAAACCAACTAAAACAAAAACCAAAGAAATAATACTAAGAGCAGAAGTATAAACTGAATAGAATAAAAATCACTTTCCCACAGCACTAAAGGTGATTACAACCTATAGGGGTGACCCACTGTGAGGAGTTTATAGGTGGTATGGCACAAAAGATGAAATTTGTTGAAATTGAATAGAATATTTAGATCAATTTCAGTCTTTCACCAGTGTTAAGTGAATGCTATTATTTTTGTTTCAGGAGTGGGATGGAATTACAAGCTGCAGGTTTTATGCTTTTATGATGCAAAATCTTCAATCTTTTTGCACTGAATGCTTAGTGAAAATATTGAGTGGACAGGATATAATGTTCGTCCCTGACATCTGTAGTCTTGGAAGGGGTGGACTGGATACAATTCTAACCTTTCAGCATTTTCTTGCATGAAGACCACTGACCACTCTCAGACTCAAACATGCATTCCCACTCTTGTCATTCTGAGGTTTTACCATTGCACCAAGAAATTATAAGCAAATTAGCAAAATAGGGAATAAATTTAAGGAAGCATAGGTTTAAAAGTTTCTTTAGAGGCTGAAGTTACTTTATGAAGTTGAGATTCTTGTGTTATTTCATTGGTGTGATGTAGTTTCAAGGGCCTGCGAATATTGAATATTACTAATTACATAAGAAAAAGTTTTCTTTATGGGCACACATGCTATATGGTTACTGGTTAGTGAGCATTCCAAGTCATTAGCTAGAAATGGTTTCCATTGATTTTCCTTTTGGTCTCCCATTTGCAATAGTTGTGCCTCACTCATATGACATGTACATTTTGACCAACTCTTCACATGCAGATTCATTTATATTTTGCAGGTGACACCTAATCTTTATGGCAATCTAGTGGCAAATACAGCAGCTGGTATTGCTGGAGGCACTGGTTTCATGCCAGGAGGTACCTACCATCTTCTCAATTTTCTCTTGTTTCTTTCATTTATACCAACAGTGTAAGATAAAGTGTTTGACTTCTAAGAAATTAACTCACCCTCTTGGCAAGCTAAGCAAAGTTTTTAAAGAAGTTATCTCTATTGTATTCATCAAGTGTTTGGTCATGTTTAAAGTACTTTTCTTGTCAATATTAAAAAGATTTAAGTAATGACATTTTTGTTTAGCTTGCAACTTTATTGATGTGATACCTATGCTGACAAAATATAGTAAGAATCAAAGTGGTCTACTTGGTTTCTATTTATTAGAAAATCTGAGTCCACAACTTATGATTTGTTTGAACATGGGAATGCCTTAAGGAATCGCAATGTTTGTGTTTTAATATGCATGCCTTCACTTATAGGTGGCCTTTATGTTTCTTTTCTTTTCTTAAGTTGCCTGTGAATTCCTCCATCACAAAAATAAAAATAAAAAAAGAATGACAGATACATGGATCTTGGATTTTGCAGGCAATGTTGGGGCTGATCATGCCATTTTTGAGCAAGGTGCTTCAGCCGGCAATGTAGGAAACCCTAAATTGTTGGAACAGAAGAAGGCAAACCCAATAGCTCTGCTTCTCTCATCTTCCATGATGCTGAGGCATCTCCAATTTCCGTCATTTGCTGATCGATTGGAGACTGCTGTGAAACGTGTAATTTCAGATGGCAAGTACCTCACAAAAGATTTTGGAGGAGACAGTACCACTCAAGAGGTCGTTGATGCAGTAATTGCTGCACTGGACTGAAAATTTTCCATACTTGGTCCTTTCTCTTCCTAAAGACCATCTTTTGGGTCAGATTCTACATCATTATTGAGATTTCCAAATTTGATGGCATGATAATCTTTGCCATCTTTTCACTTTTTTTTTCTTTTGTTTTTTCCCAAAACAATCTAAAGAAGTCCTTATAAACCATAGCAAGTAGAGTGCTCAAATAAAAGCCCACAACAGGAAAGTAGATACAATTTTCCTTCTAGAACTTGCATGAATTTTGCACTATCTTCCTTCATTTGAAAGAATGCAATGCACTTCAACTTCTTTTAACTTCTGAAATTAAATTTGAGATGTTCAAAGTTTTTAAACTTTGTTGGGTGTTTAGTTGTGCAATAAATTTGAAATATTTGATGCAAGTTTACTAAACATGAATCTAACACGTCAGTTTTCTGCTGCCACTCCAAAGGCATCTTAGAAACCGTCTCTAAGATGGACAAAGAAGGGGTTCAAAAATTATCTTAGGGCACCAAGAATCACCCAAGGATCAATTATCTTTTGTCCGAAGGGAAAATTCAAAACTATGATTTTGCCACAAGGAACAGTGAAATTTCAAAAAAAAAATGTTAAAGAGAAAAAGAAAGAAGGGATAATCAACAATCCCCATGTGGATGCCTAGAATCACCCTGGGTTAGGTTATATTAAAGGATTAAAGTATTGATACGATATTCTTGATACAAAATGTATCGTATCCGTATACATGATCATGGATACAGGATATGCCACGACTGGCCACGTATCTCATGAGTCGTGCATATGGGCATGATCCGCCTCTATATGGGTCATATCACATTGTATCGATGGATATGATTCAATATGAATGCATATGGAAGTGTATCCATGCCTAGTTTGACAAAACTGTAAACTAACTACTCTTGGATTGTTTTTCATCTTTAATAAAAATTAAAAACTGAAATAAATAATTTAACATTTTTTTTTCAAAAAATAATAAAAAATAAAAATTATATATTTCATCTAACTTAAATGATTTATATATTTTATTCTACACATAATTATATGTTAAAAATGAAAATATAATTATTATTTAAAAAAATAGAGTTATTATATAAAAATACTAAGGACAAATTTCTTAAACTCTATCCCTACTATTTCAATATTGTCTTATATAAAAATACTAAAATGTTCGTTTGCCCTAGCTACGTTCTCTCCGGCAACCATCAATAGCCAACTGCAGGAATATCTCCGTTCTCTCAGGCAATAACAACTCCTACTTCGACGAACAGAGGAAAAACCACTTTCTTGGTCAAGTGAAATTGTACGGAAGCCCTACTGTTGAGGAGTAGGAAGAGGGAACGCCGCCGCCTAAGGAGGAGAAGGTTCTGCCAGATATTAGTTTCCTCCCCTCTCTATGCCGAAGAACGGCATCTATGATGGGTGATACTGATAGCAAGCAGTCATCGTCACCGTCAACTTTTCAGATTACACATCTAGTTCTGAAACCAGTCGATGAGGACACAAAATGGTAGAGTTTTTAGTTTTGGGGTTTGTATTCCAGTCTAAGACCACACCTTCGGCAGGTTTTTCAGTATCAGAGCAGCATGACTGTACCTTTAATAGGAAGAAAGGAGAAGAAGAAGAAAAAGAAGGTGAGTGGAAAGAAGAGCAGTGGTGACGATGTGCTCTCAGACTGAAAGGGGAGGTGAGATCGATGGGGCGAAGAAGAATAAGAAGAAGAGAGGGAAGAAGAGAGATAGGGGAATACAGAGAGAGAAAAGAGAAAATGAGTGGCAACGATGGGAGGTGAGATCGATGGGGGGAGACTGAAACAAGGGAGGTGAGATCAATGGGGGGAAGAAGAATAAGAAGAAGAGCATGAAGAAGAGAGAGAGAGAGACACCGGCCTCCTCTAGCATGGAAACAGTGTCCATCTTGTGCCTCTAGGTACTAAACCGATTGTCTTCATCTTCTTTGAAGATAAAAGTGCAACTCGTTTAATGATGCGACTGGCAAGTGAGTGACAGAGGGGCCGGCGGTGGAGGAGGTATGACCGTGAGATGGAGGAGCTATGACCGTGAGATAAAGACTCCCTTAGTTTTTCCTTGAAATCTACTGTTGCAATGAGAAAAACACTTTTCATCTTCTCTGACCTCAAGATACACGAAAAACACTGTTCATTCGCTGACAATTGGCATCAGAAAGCTCTTGTAATAAGATCCGAACTTAAACAAACCGGAATGGAGAAAAACCGCTTCGTGGATAAAAGAGAAACGAACAAATCTTAATCCGCATACAGGAGATCAGCTTCAGAGCCTCGTCTGCTATTTACGGTGAACGAAAGCTGAAGTTGGGCAGAAGAAAAAACTCTCTAATAAAACATTAATTCATTCAAGCAGCTGCAGCATTTGCGTTGTGCGAAGCGGGCCGGGAAGACCGAGATTTGTACGCCAATCCATATTGCTTATGGATCGGAAACCCTTAGATAGAAGTAGAGTTTTATTGCTCCTTGGATCTTGTTAGTGTGGTGAGAAGGGTCCCCGAAGCAAACAGAGCAGATTTCGTTTACGTTAGGCAAATAGAAAACAGGTTTGGAAATTGGAAGTTTGTATGCACGGAGAAGTGGCTCGGATCTGACGAAGCTGAGGTTCGGAATTATGGCTGAAGGAAGAAGGAGCCTATTTTCTTGTTGGGTTTGACCTCTAAAGAGAAATCGGGGGAGAGAGAGTGAGGGAGACGAGGCTCTGAAGCTTGAATGAATTAATGTTTTATTAGAGTTTTTTCTTCTCTGCTCCTGTAAGCGGATTAAGATTTGTTCGTTTCTCTTTATCCACAAAGCGGTTTTTCTCCATTCCGGTTTGTTCAAGAAACTGAGCTTTAGTGTTTGGATCTTATTCCAGGAGCTTTTTTATGCCAATTGTCTTTCGTGCATGGTGAGGTCAGTGGATGAACAGTGTTTTTCGTGCATCCTGAACACAAAGGAAGATGAACAGTGTTATCCTGATTGTCCTCGTGGCAAGGGTAGTATGGGAATTAAAAAATATTGTAATGGCAGATTTCAACGAAAAGGTAATCCAAGGGGGTCTTTGTCGCAAAACAAAGTACAGGGGGTCTTTGTTATAAACCCCATAGCTAACAGTAAGGGTAGGGTCAGTCAATTGTCAAAAACAATAGGAGTACTTTAAGATAATACTGAAACAATAGGGGTAGAGTTAATTAATTTTCTAAACCTTAAGGGTAATTTAAGAAATTTGCCCAAATACTAAATAAAAGAATTTTCCTAACAAAATTAATGGAAAACATAAAATTATAATTATAAAAACTGAAATGAATAATTTAAGTTTTAATTTTGGCAATAAAATTTAATAAAAACTAAAAATTATAAATCATTTATTTTATCTACCTTAAATGATTTACATGTTTTATTTTACAATTGTATGTAAAATAAAAATATATATATATATATATATGTTAAAAATTAGAACATATTTATTATTTAAAAAAGAGATTATTTATATAAAAATACTAAATTAATAAATATTTCCAAAAATTAATAAAAAATTGAAATAAAACGTTAATTATTATATGATGTTTGAATGTTCTAGAGTTCTGGTATTGTTGATTGCAATGTTTTTCTTCATATAATCTATTGAAGTATGTATTTCTCATGTGTTTATATATTATTCATAGACAATTCAGGTTTTGATTTAGTATTATTAATGTATTTATGTGATTTGTATGCATTTTCTTAGTGTATCCAAGTGTTTTTATATCTTTCATTCGTATCCATACATTTCTAAAGCGTATCCGTATCTATATATCCATCATAGCATACACTTTTCCACACTCACTTTTATGGACATGTTGTTTCTTGACCACCCAATACTCTGCTCGATACAACATAGCTGGCCTTATAATTATTTTATGAAAATTTCCTTTTAGTTAGGGGTAGGGGAGACCTAGGGGGCCACCTCTATGGATCAAACGATGAACCTATTAGTGTTCTATTGATTCTTAAATCTCTTTCATTTAATGTTTTTATGTAACTAATTAATTGGAGGAATTAAATAGTGATTTTGTTAGATCTTTTTTTTTTATTTTTTTATTATCAATTTGTCACTATATGCAAATTAAAATTGATTCAATATATTAGAACTTGGAAAACTAAAAGAACAAAAAAAGATTTACATTTAATGTACAAGTGTACAAGTATACAATTTTAAATTTCTTTTGTTATTTTTATGTTTTCTTCTTTTCCTTTGTTTATGATTGTCTTTTTTATTATTTTCCTTTTAGTGAATAAGTCTCGTGTGTTCGACAAAAGTCTGAAATGGGACCATGCCCAAATGCATGCCATGCCATGCCATGCCCTTTCCAGCATGTACATGCACCTCCTGCCCATTGCCTAATCCGCCCACCTGGCACGTTGTGCATTCCCCCTACCTTGCCACCTAGTGCCAACTTGCCCTGACACTATATTAGGGGTGAACATTTCAGCCTGGCTTGCACAAGCCTAGCCCCAAAATTCCAGGCTTGGACCTAAGTTTTGTATTTATTTCCAATCCCCAACCCAACATATATTTAAACATATGTATTTTATATATACTGCATACACTAGGAATGACCCCGTATTAAGTACGGGACCATTAATCTGAATTATTTCAATTTTGTAAATTATTTATATTATACATTTAGGTTAGGCTTTTTATTTGATTTAAGAGACTTATCATGTTTTATCTAGAGAATGACCCCATACTAAGGGGCAACTACAATATCATTTAATTTGAAATTTACTATTTAACTATAAAAAACTAAATTAGAAAAATTAACATGGGTCTTATATCTTTGTAATTGACAATCTATTCTAACCTACTTTGTTGGAAAATCACTATTAATTTATGTTTTTTTAATATGATTTAAGAGATTAAATTAGGTATTTTTGATTAATTTATTTTTAAAAGATAAATTAGGTTATGCTTCCAAAAAGTTAAATCTAGTTTGCAATTAATAAACTATTTCATCTCTAAAAGATTGAAATTCATACCATTTGTATTAATTGTTTAGTCATTTTTATTTTTAACCATTTAATATTTTGAATATTTTTAAGTTAAATTATTTTTTTAATCATTACT